GGGATTAAAGGCGTGCGCCACCACTGCCTGGTAGTTCTTTGTTTTTAATAGTAGTAATTTTATTTTGTAGGTATTGGTGTTTTGCCTGCATGTTTATCTGTGTGAGGGGTTCAGGTCCCCTGGAACTGGAGTTACAGACAGTTGTGGTGCTGGGAATTGGAACCCACAGTTAAGAGCAGGCGGTGCTCTTAACTGCTGAGCCAGTTAACTCTCCAGCCGCTCACTTTGGTTCTTATTTCTTTGAAGCTAAGTTCCATAGATCCTTTGTGAGTCTGCTCTACTTGCTATTACCTCATGACAGATACTGCTTGGAGCTTAATTTATTTTTATAAAAAATGCACATATAACATTTATTGTGTTTTTAAAAATGTTATTTTAAAAATCAGAATTTTAGCCAAACACGGTAGGGTACACCTGTTGCCTTGGGAGATGGATGTCTTGTTAGCCATCCTGGGTTTTAGGACTTTGTGTCTCAAAAGCAAAGATAAAACAAAGCAACAACAACAAAAGCCAACCAGATTTAAAATTTTTAGGAACAGCCAAGAAAGGGTGAGCGAAGTGTTGCTGGGCCTGGAGAGATGGCTCAGCAGTTAAGAACCAGGTTCAGTCCTGGCACCCACATGGCAGTTCACAACCATCTGTATTTCTAGGGGATTTGATGCCCTCATACAGGCAAAACACCAATACACATAAAATAAAAATAAATCTTTTTTTTTTTTTAGAGTTTATTTGCAGTTGATGATGTCAGTAATGCAGAACAGGTGCTGTTAATTGCTTACAATGAGCTAAAACGAAAAACTTACTTGGGAAAAGGCTTGATTTGATTCTTTAAAAAATTTTTGTTTAAAATTTTATTTTTAATTTATGAGTACATTGCTGGCATGTGTATTTGCTTTTACTGTTTGTTTGCTTGCTAAAGACAGCATCTTCTGTGCAGGTCAACTGGGTGGCCTCGAACTAAAAGAGATCCAGTTGCCTCTACCTGAACCAAAGGCATACACCTCCATAGCTGGCCTTTTTAATAACAACAAGAACAACAAAAAATGTTTTTAAAATTTTATGTACATGGATGTTTTGCCTGTATGTGTGCCTGTGGAGGCCAGAAGAGAGCCTCAGTCAGATCTCTCTCTTTTTTAAAAAATATTTATTTATTTATTTGTTGTGTATACAATATTCTTTCTGCGTGTATGCCTGAAAGCCAGAAGAGGGCACATGACCTCATTACAGATGGTTGTGAGCCACCATGTGGTTGCTGGGAATTGAACTCGGGACCTTTGGAAGAGCAGGCAATGCTCTTAACCGCCGAGCCATCTCTCCAGCCCTCAGATCTCTTGAGACTGAAGTTTCATATGGTTGTGAGCCGCCATATGGGTGTTGGGAAGTAAACTCAGATCTTCTGAAAGAGCTGCCAGTGTTCTTAACCCACTGAGCCATCCCGCTAGCCTGTGATTACAATTTCTTAAGTTTTTTGTTTCCTTATATATTTTCGGTGTTGGGGAGGAGAGGGCTAATGTCATACGTAAGAGGAGGAACACTTTGTATAGTAGGTGATTTTTTCACTTTTTTTCAGTGACCAACAATAGTTTACATCTGGAGAGTAAAAATGAATTTGTTTTCTAAGACAGGCATGGTGGTGCATTTCTGTAATTTTAGCACTCAGCATGCTGGGGGCCAGACCAAAGACAAAACAGGGAAAAGCTGGCTAGCACAAATATGGAAAGATGTTCAACATTATTACTCAGTGAGAGATGAAAACCAAAACCACAGCGAGGCACCACCTTGTTCTTACTGTACCTTAAGTTGTAATGTGCTGGTTGGACTGGGAGAAGGCATTGCCAAACTGGGCGGTGGTGGTGCACGCCTTTAGTCCCGGCACTTGGGAGGCAGAGGCAGGTGGAGTCTGTGTGTTCAAGGCCACCCTGGCCTGTGGAGAAACTGTCTCAAAAAAACAAACAACAACAAAAAAACGACAGGGGAGGTGGATTAGTGCTTAAAAGCACTGACTGTTCTTTACAGGACCTGGTTTAATTCCCAGCACCACATGATAGCTTACAACCGTTTGTAACTCCGGTCCCAGGGAATCCAATACCCTCTTCTTCCATACTGAGACACCAGACAAACACAGGGCATACAGATATACATGCAAGCAAAACATCCATGCCCATAAAATGAAAATTAAAAACCTGTTTAGAAAGCGGGGACAACTAGGTACCCCCTTTTTAGCATCATTGACATTCAACAGAAGTTTCAACCTATCTATCATCTATCTATCATCTATCTATCAATCAATCATCTATCATCTATCTATCATCTATCTATCTATCTCTGTCTACATTCATTCTCAAAAGAAATCTTTTTCCCCCTTTTCTTTCCTTTCCTTTTCTCTCTCTTTTTTTTAAGATTTATTTATTTAGGGCTGGAGAGATGACTCAGAGGGTAAGAGCATTGCCTGCTCTTCTAAAGGTCCTGAGTTCAATTCCCAGCAACCACATGGTGGCTCACAACCATCTGTAATGAGGTCTGGTGCCCTCTTTTGGCCTGCAGGCATACACACAGACAGAACACTGTATACATAATAAATAAATATTTTTTAAAAAGATTTATTTATTTATTTTGTTTACAGTGTTTACAGTGCATGTATTCCTGCAGGCCAAAAGAGGACACCAGATTTCATTACAGATGGTTGTGAGCCACCACGTTGGTTGCTGGGAATTGAACTCAGGACCTCTGAAAGAACAATCAGTGCTCTTAACCTCTGAGCCATCTCTCCAGCCCTCCTTTATTTTTGAGATAGGGTCTTGACTATGTTGCCCTGGCTAGCCTGAAACTCTATATAGACCTACTTAGAACCATAAGACTATTTTCTTTCTTTCTTCCTTCCTTTTTTTTTTCCTTTTTTTTTTTTTTCTTTGGTGTTTTGAGACAGGGTTTCTCTGTTTTGGGGCCTGTCCCAGAACTAGCTCTTGTAGACCAGGCTCACAGAGATCCTCCTGCCTCTGCCTCCCAAATGCTGGGATTAAAGGTGTGCGCCACCACTGCCCAGCAAGACTAGTTTGTTTTCGATGGTGCTAAGATTAGTTCCAAGACCTCATGCATACTAGATAAACTCACTCTCTTCCTGTATCTAACCATAAATGCAGGTTTTCCATAGACTATTTTACGACAGTGAGACATACCCACTCCTGGCAGCACCAGTCTACTTCAAAGAAGACAATGAGGAAGAAACTCCACACGGAGTTCACTGGGCTGAAAGTGTCCTTGGCTCAGCTGCTGGCTGTATTCTGTCCTAATTGGACAGGTGGGACCCAAATGAAAGTGACTGCCAGACATTGTCAGGATGAGGATGAACAGCCCTTCAGAATATCCTGCTTCGTAGAAGTCTGTTGGATATGCTAGGCTTCTAGGTCAAAGATATCTGCCCCATTGTTGCAGAGGAACTTTGGGTGACTGTTGAGGCAGGTAGCTGTTTCTATCATTTCTCACATTTTTTAAAATATTTATTTATTTGTTTATTATGTGTACAATATTATGTCTGCATGTATGCCTGCAGGCCAGAAGAGGGCCCTAGACCTCATTACAGATTGTTGTCAGCCACCATGTGGTCGCTGGATATTGAACTCAGGACCTTTGGAAGAGTATCAGTGCTCTTAACCGCTGAGCCATCTCTCCAGTCCCCATTTCTCACATATTTTGGAAGTCATTGCTTGTACTTTCTGCTTACTTGGTTATTATTTCCTTCTTGTGTCTCTGAGGGCGTTGAAAATTAGGTAGTCATAGTTTTCCTTGTTTAACAGATGCAGAAAGCAAGTGAATAGAAAGTAAATTAGATATAAGACTTCGGACTCACCAAGATAGGATAGATATGAATTTGTCAAATGCAAATGGACTAAACATTGTTGATGTATTATATTGTATACAGTTTTTGTACTTATTTTATATAGTTTTTCTTATATTAGTTATCACCTTCTTTTTTATTTTAGACAAATAGGGGAAATATAGTGATATTTTATTTGTATTTTAGTGAGTAAAGCTTGCCTGAAGATCAGAGAGTAAAACATCTCAGCCTTACAGACCAGGCAGTGGTGACACACACCTTTAATCCCCGTAGCCACACTAGTTTGCCACAGAAACCAGGATGTAGTAGTGCACACCTTTAATCCCAGCACTGGAGAGAGGAACATAGGATGGGAGGAGACAGCTCTCAGGATCAGATTCATTCTGAGGATTCCTGGAGGCAGGATCTCCTTGTTGGCCTGAGGCAGAGGTAAGAGCCAGTGGCTGGCTGTTTTGTTTTTCTGATTTTGAGGTTGAACCCCAATATCTGTCACTGGATTTTTATTACTCGTACGACGCGTAAAGACCTAAATTCTATCTAAATCTTTTATCAGTCTTTTTGTTCGTGGTTCTCCTCCCATGTCACATTCTATGACAGTTGTCATTTTTCTCAGCCTACATATCTTGTGAGTTAATATTTAGATCATCTGGTCCTTAGAATAAGAGACAGAGTCTCACTGTGTAGCCTGGTTGGCGCCTGAGCGAATCACCTCCCGAGGCCTGCGATTACAGTTGAGCATTATCACCTGGTGGCTCACACCTTTAATCCTAGCACTCAGGAGGCAGAGGCAGGTGAATAACAAACTTCGAGACCAGTCTGGTCTACAGATCAAGTTCCAGAAGGGCCAGGGCTACACAGAGATACTGCATTAAAAACAAAACAAAAAGTCGAGCACCAGCCCTGTCCTTTATTTTTGTTAACCTGTTAGTAAATATTATGAAGCCATGCATACAATTAAAGATTTAACCCTAGATTGGAGAAAGATCTGTGGATAGGAAGACTCAAGTATCTAACATTCTCGCTTTTCCAAATTTTAAAAATGTCAAAGAATACTCTCTGAACTGTAGCCACTGCTTCTCTTCTGGGTTTTTATTACTAACCAAGCATTATGTGACTGTAGTAGTTGCTGATTCTGTACCCTTTTAACTGGCTTTTTCCCTTTCAGTTGATTATGGAAGATTCCCACAAGAGTAACACTTCAGAGACTGCACCTCAGCCTGGTTCAGCAGTTCAGGGGACTCACATTTCTCAGATAGCCCATCCGGTAAGTCAAGAGCTAGCCGGCATGCTGAGCTGGCCAGTAGTGTTCACAGATGCACCTGTTGCCCTCTTACCAGCGCTCAGAAAACCCAGCACAGAGAGACCGAGAGATGCCGCTGCTAAGCTGGGAGAGGTGGGGACTGCAGCACCTCTAGAAGGAAATCTCCCCCCCCTCCATTTGTTTTTTGGGGCGGGGAGACGCAGACTGGCCTGAAACTTGCTATATAGACTAGACTGGCCTCAAACTCACAGAGATCTGCCTGCCTCTCTCTGTGCTAAAAATAAAGGTGTGCATCAGTATGCCTAATGTGGCCTGGAATTCTTGATCATCATCTTCTATCCTAGTACCAGAGTACTAACATTATGGTACTGGAGTAATAGATGTATGCCCAGCTTGGACTGTTCTCATTTTAGCAAGTTCATTATGGATATATTGAAATTTTTTTTGTGATAAATATATTCATTAGAGAATTTAGCTTAATTGACTGACGTGTGTTCAGACTAGAAATGTCTACTTAGGAATTGTGAATATAAATTTTAATATAAATTAAAATCGTGGGACAACTTCTGGCTTTTCCATAGGGTATAGAAAGCTGAAGGGAGTCTTATTCTTACCTAAAACAGGAGTAAGTTCCATAATCTACAGGCCACTGGCTTTGAGACTTAGAGAAGTTGAAGGTGGGGTGTCATATGAGGAGGGAGGGATTAGTCATCGACCTCTTTTTTTCCTATTGGTGTTTTGAGACAGGGTTTCTCTGTGTAGCCGTTGCTGTCCTGGAACTACCTCTGTAGACCAGGCTGGCCTTGAACTCACAGAGATTCTCCTGCCTCCGCCTCCCAAGTGGCATGCCAGACAAGTCGACTATATTTTAAGACAAGGTTTCACATAGCTCAGGCTAGCCTCAAATTCACTGTGTAGTGAAAGGTGGCCTTGAACTCTGATCTTTCTACCTCTGCTTTAGCAGCACTTGCTTGGATTACAGGTGTCTGTTATTCCTAGCTATCAGCTACATTTTAAAGTTATTTATTATCATTTTAGGTGGTGGTGTGCACATGTCATGACACATGATTTGGTGTAGATAGCATGCATAAGCAGAGGGATTGCAGAAGAGGGAATTGGATGTAAAATAGGATTCCTAGAAATAAAAATAGCACAAGTTAGGTGGTGTCAGGGTTCATTAGACTTGATGTGATTGAAGAGTCAGTGAACTTGAAGATAAACTAGTAGAAGTCACCCAGATGGGAAACAGAAAGGAAAGGGAGAAGACGAGCAGAGCATCCAGGAACTACGGGGTGGTGTCTGTTATCTAGTCACGCTGCAGATTACTGAGATGTGAATCTAGTTGGGGAAGACTTCACTGGGTGTGTCTTGGGGTTCCACTGTTCATATGGAAACATCCTTTCTGCTTCCTCCTTGTTAGTGCATTTGGTGCTACTGATAAAGATGCTGACTCGTCTTCTAAGTCCAGGAAGGCCGTGGTATGCCTAATGGAGAGTGTAGCTGTGTCAGGTAACAGAGGGAACTAGAATGCTGTTTACTGTGAGTCAGTGGTAATAAATTAACTAGATATCAAGTAAGGTATCTTGATCCCTGTTTGTTTTTGTTTTTCAAGACAGGGTTTCTCTGTAACTCAGGCTGTCCTGGAACTCACTCTGTAGACCAGGCTGGCCTCAAACTCACAGAGATCTGCCTGCCTCTGCCTACCGAGTGCTGGGATTAAAGGCGTGCGCCACCACCCAGTGGTATCTTAAATCTTAAAACCAATGTATATTGATGAGTGGACCACATATTTCCCTAGGACAATGGTTCATGGTGTGTGATAACATTATAGCATCTGCAGACAAGAACCATCTGTGTTTCTCAGCAGCTTCAGAGAAAGCTTTGACAAGGACTGTTTCAGTGGATGTCAGGATAAAAGGAAGAGGAGAAAAATGAATGGACAGATTGTAGAATGAATCAACAGCTCCCTCCAGCTTACTTTTAAAGATTGTTTATGTGTAGGTGTGCACATCTTTGTGAATTCATGTACTCTGTGTGTGCGTGTGCCCTAGGAGACCAGAGGACATTGAATCCCTTGGAACTGTAGTTACAGGTGATTGTAAGCTACCAATTAGGCTCTAGAAATTGAACCTACATCCTCTGCAAGAGGCGTGAGCACTTTCAATCTCTGAGCCATTTCTCTAGTCCTGAGAAATTGCTTTGTTTCTTTTGGTTTTTCAAGAGAAGGTATCTCTTTGTCACTCTGGTTGTCCTGGAACTCACCCTGTAGAGCATGCTAGCCTGTAACACACAAAATTGGAGTTTTGTTTTGTTTTTAAGGAGGAATTGGCTGGGCAGTGGTGGCGCACACCTTTAATCCCAGCACTCAGGAGGCAGAGGCAGGTGGATCTCTGTGAGTTTGAGGCCAGCCTGGTCTACAAGAGCTAGTTCCAGAACAGGCTCCAAAGCCATAGAGAAACCCTGCCCCTCCCTCCCCCCAAAAAAGGAGAAATTGGAATCTCTTATCCACAAATGCATTTTTTTTTCACAATTTAAATTTGTGTTTGTTTTTTGTGTGCTTTTAGTCATGATCTCACTGTGTAGCTCTCTTGGTGCCCTGTAATCTGGCATTTGAACAGGCTGGCCTCAGTCTGCCTCTGAGTGCTGGGTTAAAGGCAATTACCACCAAACCGAGCTCAATCTTTAGGAGTGGGTTTCATTATGGCATTTTCTTACATATGGGTCGTTATACTATATTCTCATTTGTTCCCCCACCACCACCCCATGCCACCCCCACCTCTGTCCTTCCTTCAGTTAGTCTTCTCTCCAGCATTCTTATCTCTCTCTCTATAACTTAAGGATTCTGCCCTCTCGTGGTCCCTTCTAGACAACCCCCTGCCCCCTCTTCTGCCTCTGTCTCATTTTCAGTGTGTTTGTATGTCCACCTGCCTGTCTCTGTCTTTTAAATGTTGCCTCTGCATATGAAAGAAAGCATATTTATTTTTCTGGGTCTGGTATTTTTGCTTAATGTATGATTATTAATGCTCATATTATCGCTTCTCCCTCTCTTGGTTTGGTCTCCGGAAGCTCAGCCCAGTGCTTAGCTGTGAATCTCTGCATCTGCTTCCGTCAGTTGCTGAATGAAGGTTCTATGATGACAAGTAAGGTAGTCATCAATCTGATTACAGGGGAAGGCCAGTTCAGGCACCCTCTCCACTATTGCTTAGCTGGGCTCATCCTTGTGGATTCCTGGAAAGTTCCCCGGTGCCAGATTTCATGCTAGCTCCATAATGGCTCCCACAATCAAGATATCTCTTTTCTTGATCTCTGCCCTTCCCTCACCTCAACTGTCCTGTTTCCTCGTGTTCTCCTCCCTCCCCTTCTCTCCTCCCCTTTCTCTTACACCCCCTCCCCCTTGCTCCCCTTTTTCCTAGGAGATCTTGTCTATTTCCCCTTCCCTGGAGGATCCATGTGTGTCCCTCTTAGGGTTCTCCTTGTTGTCCAGTTTCTCTGGGATTGTGGACTGTAGGTTATCCACTTAGGAGTGAGCGCTGCCTGGGTCTAGGTTACTTCACTCAGGATGGTTTTTTTCTGGCACCATCCATTTGCATGCAGATTTTGTTTTTTTGTTCTTTAGCTCTAAAATCTCTTGTCTTTTAATCCACTCGTTTACTATTATTCTCAGCAACCACATGGGACTCAGAACCATCCGTGATGAGACCTGGTGCCTGCAGGTGTACAGGCAGAAATGATATGCATGATAAACAAATCTTGAAAAAGGGCTTAGTAAAAACAGTATTATAACAAATTATAGTATAATAGATACTGTATTAATTAACAAATCTCTATTCCTGAAAAGTTCTAGGTTTGTCAGGTATCAGGATAGGATTGTATTTTTCCTTCCTTTGGAGTTTGGGTTTGAGACAGGATTTCTCTGTGTAGCCCTGGCTGTCCTGGAACTCACTTTGTAGACCTAGTTGACCTCAGACTCAGAGATCCACCCACCTCTGTCTCCTGAGTTCTGAGATTAAAGGCATTTGGCACCATCGCCTATCTAGGGTTGCGTTTTTCAGTATATACCCAGCAGCCAGCATGTTTAAGGTATTCCTTCAAGCTGTGCATAGTGGTCCATATCTTAATCGCAGCATTTGGGAGGCAGAGGCAGGTGGACCTCTGTGAGTGAGTACTTATTTATTTATTGGTTTTCAAGACTGGGCTTTCTCCGTTTCTCCGTGTAACAGCCCTGACTGTCCTGGAACTCTGTAGACCAAGACTGGCCTTGAATTCAGAGATCAGCTTTTGCCTCCCGAGTGCTGGGATCAAAGCTGTGTGCCACCACTGCCCAACTCGTCTGTAATTTCTGTATCCTCATTTTGGGGTGCCATTGAAAAACACAGAACTGAGCCAGGTGGTGGTGCACTCCTTTAATCCCAGCACTTGAGAGGCAGAGGCATTTACAAGCCAGCCTGGTCAATGGAGCAGTTTGATGACAGCCAAGGTTACACAGAGAAACTTTGTCTCAAAACAAACAAACAAAAAAATCAAATGAACGTCTATTAAGTGAAGCACAGATTTTAGACTACTGCAGCATGGTAGACTAGCATCAACTGAACAAAAGGAAAAAGAGGGGTGTGTGTGTGTGTGTGTGTGTGTGTGTGTGTGTGTGTGTGTATAGACGTATAAGTGCCACACGTGAAGTGCCCCGTGCCTTGTGAGTCATGTGGAGGCTGAATGTTGACCGTGGTGTCTTTCTCAGTCCTACATTTTAATTTTTGAGGAGGTTTGCTCACTGGTTTGGCTGTAGTAACTGGTCAGCAAGCTCCAGGGATCCTCCGCCTCTACCTTTGCAGCACTGGGGCCCCAGATGTGCACTGCTGTGCCAGGAACTCGGTTCCTGTGTGGCAAGCATTCCAACCAGTGAACTGTTTCCTCAGCGTTGGGGAGCTTTGTAAGCACTGAGGTGTACTAAGTAAGACTTCGGAGGACCTTAGTGTGTGTCGGCCACCTGTGATTGCTGAGTGGCGTTTGTCACAGTTAAGCTCCTTCCACAGAAACTGAGAGCAGGAGCCCCATTTTGAAGGGGATATACTCAGGTTTTTGAAAGACATTTCTGTCTTGTGGATGATTTATGTCTCAAGGGGCAGAAAATAATTTCTTATTTCCTGAAGAGTGAAGATGGACCTAAGACTCACACCCTAGCTAGTACAAACAGTGATTTAAATTCTTTTGGCAGAAGTTTAAGGGGCTGGGGAAAATGGAGGTGTTGCATTGTGGAGCAAGCCTTGAAAGTTCTTGGGTGGACCTTAGTTTACCATCAGATTTCCACAAAAATTGCAGTTGTGTTGTTGAAATTTTACCTGAAATACTTGACGTTTTAGAGAAGATAGTGCCCAAAGTTGGATGTTCTGGTCCTTTGCTCTTGATTACTTGAATTGTTTTCAGTCAGGTCTTCTTGGACTAGCATAAAACTGTGGGATTTAGTCCAGTAGTGGAGTGCTTGCTAGGCCCCTTGTTTGGCCCTCTGGGTGGGGGTGGGGGACTTGAGTTTCCCTGTTTGCACAATCAGTTTCTCAACTGGGAGATCCCATTTGTCTTTACTTTCCCACTGCCCTTCTCCTTGCTCTGGGGTGGTCCTTTAGGATCACCTTAGGACCTCTGACCCCTTGTTTTTCCAGGAGGCTGTCGGGGAAGGGAAGTGCCAGACACACTTTCTTCCTGACCACACAGTGACTGGCAGGGTTGTCTGACTAGTGTTTTGTCAGTTCAAGTACAGTTTGATCTGTGTAGTGAGTTCCAGAACAGCCAGGGGTACATAGTGAGGCCCTGGGGTGGAGTGGGGGTGACATCTCTGACACCTCGATCAGTGAGAGCACTGTTACTTGAGGGCCACTAGTTCCTTTTTCCTGTCAGATGCACATTGGCCGTGAGCTGTGAAGGGCGCTGGGAAGCTGTGAACGCTGCAGAACTCTGAGGTTTGCTTTCTTTTTTGAGACAGGGTCTCACTGTTTAGTCCTGACTAGCCTCAAAACATGGTCTTCCAGCTTCCTGAGCTCCGGGGTCACAGGAATGAGCTGCCATATCAGGCTGGAACTCATTCATTGAAGACGATGATTAAAATGTGAAGCAAGTTTTCCCAAACAAGCATGGCCTCCATGATAGTGAAGGGAAGGCTTTGGATAGAGGCTAGTTGTACAGAGCGCGGACTTCCAGAGCCTGTTTGCATTATTTTATGTTTAATCTCGAAAAACAAACAAACAAACAAACAAAAATGAAGTCAGGTGTCCTAATCCAGTTTTAGGCAAATGTTTGGTATTTAGTTCATTTGAAGAGTTAAAAATAACTGAGCTGTGGTGGCACACCTTTAACCCAGCCTGCTCTGCAGCGTGTGTTCCAGTACAGCAGGAGCCAGCTTGGTCTTAAAATGTTCAAGAATAGTTAATATTTACTGTGTATCTGCGCACATATTGGTTCATTTAATCATGAGATGAGACAATGCTGTGACCACTGCAGCTCTTGAAATGCCTACCTCCACCATGTCTTCCCCTAACACTGGCCGCTCCTCTTACTGCCAGGCCTTCGCTGGGTTCCCAGGGCAGCTCACGCCCTTGTGTTCCTCTTCAGCCTTTATCTCCTCCTACTCTTACCAGTCTAGTAATGGTAAAGGATTCTTGAGTTAAGTGTGATTGCCTGTTTTAATTTTATGGCTTGAAGGACTCCAAAGAGCTTTGCCTTCCAAGTTTTAAATATTTACTCTTATCTTAAATTATGTGTATTTGTGAGTACCTGCACATATGTGCAGGTGTCTGTGGAGGCCAGAGGCATCAGATCCTTCCGAGGCAGCATGGCATGGCTGCTAGGAATTGAACTCTGGTCCTCTGGAAGAACAGAACAAGCTCATCATCACTGAACCATCTCAATCCCCAGCCTCCCACGTGCATCCATCTAGCACAGACCTTGATCCAGCAGTCTCCTTAGGACAGTTAAGTATCTATAGGCAAATTGAGCATGTCTAAATATGGTGCAGCGTGCGATCAGAAGTATATTAATTTTTGATGAGCAGATATCATTTAAAGGTTTATTTACATATGTATTTTATTTATGAGTGCTTTATCTACATGCTGGGAATTGAACTTCAAACCTCTAGAAGAGAGAGCAGCCAGTGTTCTAACTGCTGGACCATCTCTCCAGTTCCCAGCTAGTATTTTATTTGCGACATAAGTGTTGTTAGCTCTGTACAGTGTTGTGTGTTCTGTTTTCTTTTCTTTCTTGGTTTCTCAGGACAGGGTTTCTCTGTGCTAGAACTTGCTCTGTAGATCCACCTGCCTCTGCATCCCAAGTGTTGGGATTGGAGGTGGCCAGCTTGCCCAGTCTAAGTGTTTGTTCAGTTGCTGTCCTTCCCCATTCCTCCTTTTAGATCTTAGGGGTGATGTGCAGTGAATTTGGGTGACAGAAGACAGATCATTTTGAAAGTAACAACTCGATTTTTTTCCCCATCTGTATTCTTCAGCATATTAAAATCAGTTCTGATTTTTAGGTGTCATCTTTATCAGAAAGTGAGGAGTCTCAGGACTCATCTGACAGCATAGGCTCCTCACAGAAAGCTCACGGGATCCTGGCCCGGCGACCATCTTACAGGTTGGTACTTTGTTTTCAAATGTGTTCAGATAGTTCTGTGAAAATCTAAATAGGGCAAGGTCGCAGATCTTAAGAAAAGTAGGTTGGAGCCGGGCGTGGTGGCACACACCTTTAATCCCACCCAGCACTAGGGAGGCAGAGGCTGACGGGTCTTTGAGTTCAAGGTCAGCCTGGTCTAATTAGTTCCAGGACACCTAGGACTGTTACTGGCCGGGTGGAGAAGGTAGATTGGAAGCACATTAAGCAGAGGAATTTAGATTTGAAAATAGTTTGCTGTTTTTGAGACGGGATCTTTCTACGTAGATTAGGCTGTCCTTGAACTCACAGAGACACCCCCCCCCCAGTGCTGGGATTAAAAGCGTGTTTTTAACTCTAATAGCCATCTCAAAGCTGGACTGCCAAGTGCAGAATTGGTCTGTATTGCATGTTCTTTCTTCTCTGTCTGCGTCTAAGCCCCATGCAGCTTGTCTGAAGTACCTGCATTCCACACAATTCCTGTACGTGCTTACCAGAGCCTCTGCTTATCTCTTCCTGACTACCCTGAGACAAGCTTTCTTCTCTAGTCCCTTTTAGTGCTTGTGTGTGTGTGTGTGTGTGTGTGTGTGTGCGCTTTTAGATTCATTTGTGTTCATGATGTTTGCCTGCGTGCGTATGTGTGTGCGTCTGTGTGTGGCATATGTATTCAGGAGGGTAGCAGAGCCTCTCTGTAACCCCATATAGAATTCCATCTGAAGGGGATGGCCATGTTTTTTTGTGATGCCAGGTTCTAGCACAGTAACTACCCATCCCTTAGTAGTTACTTGCTCAGTGAATGGGGTCTGTAAGTAGTACAGCCAGCTGATAGAAAGCCTTTGGAGTTGGGGGTCTGTAGTTTTATATGGATAGGAGTAGGGATATATTTTGAGTAAGTGAATTTATTACAAGTTCGTGGTCAAATTGACCAACAATAGAGGCTGTGTGGTAGGAGGACTCAGAGACAATATGACAAAGTGTGTAAACAGTGTAGTAAGATTTTAGGTGGTGTGAGAGAAGTATGTGAAATGTATAATGCGAGTGAGAAGATAAAGAGATGCAAATAAAATAAACCCACTTAGGAGTTTATTAGAGGAGAAAGGTGCTCGCAGGCCTTAGGAAACAGTGTAGGGGGGCGGGGAGAGAGAGAGAGAGAACAAAGATGGCGCGTTCAGCTTTTAAAGGCTGCCTAGCACGTGCGCACATGTGCCTACGTCACATGCTGAGGATGGTGGACCCACGCCTTGCACTTGCGCACAAGGGTTTTAGTTGAATCACACGTGGAGATAACCACGCATGTGCGCACATAGGTCGTGCAGGCCCTTTGTTCCCAAGAGTCCGCCCACATGTGTCTGCCTTTAGGACCTAGAAGTGCAGCCTATGGGTGGCTGAATAATTATAGTATGTATAGGGTCAGTCTGTATAGAATAAATAGGCAAGAATTACTAGGTCTGTATCAAGGCAACACTAACTTGATCTTTTTTTTTTTAAGATTTATTTATTTATTACATATACAGTATTCTGCCTGCATGTGTACCTGTGCCCCAGAAAAGGGCACCGGATCTCATTATAAATGGTTGTGAGCCACCATGTTAGTTCATTTTCTACAAGTCCTGCTTTCTTTGCATCTGGCTGGCAACTCTGCCTTGCTTCTTCCCAGCATTCTCTCAGTCTCACCTGCCTAATCTCTTCCTGCCTAGTATTGGCCAGTTGGCCCTTTATTAAACCAGTGAGAAAACACATCTTCACAGTGTGCCAAAGGATTATTCCACAGCACCCTGGATGCCCTAGAACTCATTCTGTAGACCAGACTGGCCTCGTGAGCACTAGAATAAAGGTGTGCGCCAGCACTACCTGACTGCAGACAGGAAGTCTTGAAGTCAGAATTCTGTTGTTTTCATAGTAGTTACTGTTTTTTGAGACGTGATCTCATCGTTTAGCTCTGACTGGTCTAGAACTTGGAGCAATCCTCCTGCTTGAGCCTCTGGGGTGCTAAGATTAAAAGTGAGCTGGGCTACCATGCCCAGCTTGCATTTTAGTTTTCATCAATTAAAGTACTTTTTAATGCTGGGAATATACTTCGGTTGGTAGAGTGCTTGCCTGTTACACTTATTTCCCAACACTGCATAAACCACACAGTAGTCTCAGCACTTGAGAGGTCTTGGTCTGGCCAGCATGGCTCAGCAGGTAAAGTGACCTGTTTCCAAGCCTGCTAACCTTAGTTCAGCACCCAGGACCTGTGTTGTGAGAAAGGAACCGATTGCCCTCTGCCACACACACATACATAAAATCTAATAAAAATGCTTTCTAGAACCAGACTGCTGGCACACGTTTGTAATCTGAGATCTTAAGAAGAGGAGACAGGAAGATCAGGAGCTGAAGATCATCCTTAGCTAGGAAGAGAGTTCTGGACTAAACGAGATTATCTAGGGTTTTGTCTGCAAAATATCAAATTTTGTGGGATGTAACTCAAAACATCAATTACTGGAAGAGTGACTGCATTAAAGCCACTGGCTAGGGTATATAACTCTAATCTCAGCACTTGAGAGGCAGAGGCGGGTGGAATTCTGAGTTGGAAGGCAACCTTCCAGCTGGTGAGTTCCAGTATAGCGGGTGCTGTATAGAAAAGACCCTGTCTCAAGATACCAAGATAAGGGAGTATTCAGCATGTTATCATGATCAAAATGAAGTTCAATCCCTTCATGACTTCTGACCTAAGCAAGAACCACAAACAGCATTTCAATACACCATCTCACGTTCAGAGGAAGATCATGTCTTCCCCTCTTTCCAAAGACCTGAGACAGAAGTACAGCGATTGGTCTATGCCCATTCAAGACGATGATGAAGTTCAGGGTGTCTGAGGACACTACAAAGGCCAGCAGATTGGCAGAGTGGTCCAAGTGTGCAGGAAGAAATGCATCATCTATATTGAATGAGTGCAACGAGAAAAGGCTGTTGACACAAGTGTCCATGTGGGCATCCACCCCAGCAAGGCTATCACCAGCTAAAGCTGAACCATGACTGCAAAAAGATCCTGAAAAGTGAAGTCAAGTCTCCACATGTAGGAGAGGAGAAGGGCAAATACAAGGAAAAAACCATTGCGACAATGCAGGAGAGAGCCATCAGCCCCTAGGTCATCCTCTGATGGCCACATGTACACCATGCAATTCAGTGTTCGTTTTATTTTCAGTGTTAAACAATTAAATATTTAGAACATTAGTAAACATTAGAATATAACATAAGCCATCTATGTACTGTATACCAGGTAACATTCTAACACTGCTTCAGGTTAGTACCTTTCTGCAGAGTGCTGTTTCCTGAGCTATGAGCCATTCCTGTGTGTAGTCACAGGAGTTTATATTCTTCCCAGCGGAACCTTGATAAACTTGGAGAGCTCGTGGGAATGCAGAGTGGGAATCCAGTCTCTGCTTTTTTGTGGTAGTAGGTCTGCTGTTGTTTCTGAATACTGTGGGCTTTTCCACTACAGATGATTTGAAGTCAAAAAGGCCACTTCAACTTCCTAAGTGAAGGACACTTCAGGACAGAACCTTCTTTCCTGGAGAGGAAGGAAGTAGTACAACTATACAGGGCCTTTGCACCTAGAGAGGTGTTCTCTGTTTTTGTTCATTGTGTAACCAACACAGTTTAGCAAACCTCCCTTGGACCTCTTCCCTTTGTTTGTTTGGTTTGGTTTTTCAAGACAAGGTTTCTCTGTAACAGCTCTGGCTGCCCTAGGACTTGCTCTGTAGACAGACCAGACTGACCTCTAAATCACAGAGATCTGCCTGCCTCTGCCTCCTTAGTGCTGGGGTGAATGGGTGGATGGTGTGTGCCACCACTGCCCGGCCTCTTTTTTTTTTTTTTTTTTTTTTTAATGTGCATTGGTGTTCTGCCTCTGTGTGTGTGTGTGTGTGTGTGTATGTGTGTGTGTGTGTGTGTGTGTGTGTGAGATCCCCTGGAACTGGGGTTATAGACAGTTGTGAGCTGCTTTGTAGGTGCTGTGAATTGAACCAGGTTCTTTGTAAGATTAGCCAGTGCTCTTAACCACTGAGCCATATCCCCACCCCCACCCCCCAGTACTTCTTAACACTGGCTTGGGCTCTACTGGAGAGTCGTTCTGTTTATTTTTTATTTATTTATTTTTTTGAGGGGGGCAATCTTACTATGCCTCTCTGCCTATGGGATTAAAGGTGTGTACCACTAAGCTCAACTTGATTATTGTATTTTTTAAAAATTCAACAGTCATTTATTGAGCCCAACACACCCAGCTTTATATGTGTTCATGCACTTAAAAAAATGAAAAGAAAAGGAGGCTGGGCAGTGGTGGCACATGCCTTTAGTCCCAGTGCTTGGATTGCTTAGAGAGGAATCTCTTGAGTTCGAGGCCAACCTGGAACAGAGTGAGTTCCAGAACGGCAGGGGTACACAGAGTTCGCTCATAAGGAACACTGCCCTCTTCAGACCTTTCCTTTTCCTGGGTTAGTACTTTTCCTAGAGTCCCACGTGCTGTCCCTGTGCTGGGCTCTTGTGTCCAAGGACATGTCTGGGAAGGTTTCCCTTTATTCTCTCCTTTTGGAGTGTCTGCTGGCAGCTCTTCTTTGGACAGTGTCAGCTCTGTCTTTGTATGTAGATCTGGGATAAGACTGGCTTAGTAGGGTTGAGTCAGACCTGCTTTTCCTTTCTCCGGGACCCTGCCTCTTGATTCCCACTTCTTTCTCAAAGCAGGCTTGTCCTGGCAGTGTTGGCTACAGCAAACTGCTTCAGAACAATGAGGCACAATTCCTTCCCTGTTGAGCTTAGAAATCTGGGGGGGGGGGGGTATTACCATGTTGGACTGAGCTGAGGTGAGTGCTGGAGCAGAGGTCTGTCCCCATCCAGACAGTTGAACCTTAGGCAAAGCTCTAGAATTCCTGAGTCAAGGTCACTTGATGATGATTCTCAGGGAAAGGAGTTTCTGAGATTTAGAGCCATTCTTAGTAACAGCTCTTAGAAAGACTGAATTGTGGTGACTCAGACTCCGCTCTTTGTGACTCTGGGATCTGTGTCAGATCCTCAGCAGCTGGCTGAGTCTAAAGACTTCATGCTCTCAAGGACCTCCTGGAGAATTCAGATGGGGTGGTTTGATAAAGCACATTGAGCTGATTTGGGGCTGGCTTCTGCTTTTGGTTAATTTCTTTTCTGTCTTTAAGATAGGTCCATTACTATGTGGCCCTTACTCATTTTAAATTCCTGATCCAGGTAATCCTCCTGCCTCAGCCTGTCAAACTGAAACAGGGCATACACTACCACACCTGGTTAGATTACTGCACTTGTAATCTGAACAGGTGGGTGGCTCCTGTAATGCCAGCACTTGAGAAACTGTGTGGGGTAGGAGGGTCTCAAGTTGAGGCTACGCAGTCACTAGAGAGTGTCTTTGTGAGGCACTGTCATTAACAGAGTTCTCTTCTTTTACAGAAAAATATTGAAAGACCTTTCTTCTGAAGATACACGGGGAAGAAAAGGAGACGGAGAAAATCCAGGCATTTCTGCTGTCACTTCTATGTCTGTTCCAACCCCCGTCTATCAGACCAGCAGTGGACAGTACAGTATGTACAGTAGTCATTCCCATATATATGTCGACGCAGCGGACAGTACAGTGTGTGCAGGAGTGGTTCCTGTAGACACACATCACTAACTGGTGGGAAGAAATGTCAAACGCTTTTCTGCATTATCTCACTTCCTAACAACAGCTTTGTGAGAATAGAAGTTGACCGTGGGTGAAGGAAACAGACTTAGAAAGGTAGACGGGTTGGCAACACCCACTATCCTATCACTTGGCTATTAATGTTCAAGGTCACCAGGGCTCCATAGTGAGTCCCAGGCCAGCCACAATGTCATAAGATTGCCTCCCTCCCCAATTAGATATTGTCTATCTGGCTTTCAAGATCCCCTCTCCCCAGTGTATAGGTGCTCTTTGGGTCTCGTGTCTATGGCGTTAATGTTGGTGGAAATTAATATCTGAGTTACTTCTGTAATAAAATGTCATGCATGAAAATTGTATGTTCAGTTTGAGGTTAAGGAAGAAAAAGAATTGAGGTTTTGTGATGTGGCAGTCGCATGCACCATGCACTATGCTGGACTGTCAGTGTAGAGGGCCAAAGTTAGCAGGTATAATGAACTCAGCACCACTGTTTTTGATACAGGGTTTGTGTGTGCTCTGGCTGGCCTGGAACTCACCTGTGAGACCTGCCTGCCTGTGAGATTAAAGGTGTGTGCTACCACACCCTGTTGCTTCTGAGCATATGTATATATATTTTCAGTCTTCTATGATATTGGAAGAAGCTGGATACTGATATCCAGCTTCTAGGTTTCCCCATATTTTCTAATTTTTTTAAATTGTTGGCACACCTTAAGTTTCTCTTGGTAATGGAAGTCAGGAAGGGTTCCAGCTCCTCCCCTCTAGCGCCTGCGCAGCTCTTGAGCCGCCATTTACATACCAGCTCCCCACAATGTCCTGGCCAGTCTTCTGTCGCTTTGGAGTTTTGATACACGTTGCTGTGTAAGACCACTCGCAAAGCTGCTTGCCAGTGAAGCGCTTGACTGCCTACCATACACAAGGCTGAGGGTTCATTCCCAGCACTAAAGAGAAAATGCTGGTAAGTCTGCTTGGCACCTTCCATAAATGCCTGTCCCATTTGACCGCCTATCAGTCAGTCCCTCTATATACTGAGCACCACAACTTCCCGAATCCCTCAGTGAGTCTGTCTGTCCATATAGCCTGGCTCTGTTATTACCTTAATTTTCTTTTCCATGCTTTAGCCACAGTTACTTATTTAAAGTGTCAACTGAAATGGGCATGGTGACCCACACTAAGGAGACAGAGACAGGAGGTTTAGGAGTTCAAGATCATTATTGGTTATTAAGGGCGAGCCTAGATTAAATGAAGCCTTCTAAAACCAAATCAAACCCTAAAAGAATTAAATTGTCAATATTCTTGCTCCAGTCCTCGCCATGGCTTTCTCCTAACACCTGATGTAATACCCCAGGCCTAAGGACCTGCGCTCGGTTTCTGGCCACACAGACTCTGTGCCTCCAGCTCACGCAACATGTTTCCGTTCTTCAGGGCCTTTGAAGTTGTCATCCCTAGCCTGGCATTTACTCTGCAGATAGCCACATGGCTGACCTCGTTCCTCTGTTCAAATGTCACTTAAAGGGACAATTCTTTTTTTTTTCTTTTTTATTTAAGGTTGATTTATTTGTGTATGTTTCTGTGAGCACACACAAGGAGCCAGAAGAGGAAGTCACCTTTTGAGCTCCACCTCTTCCTTTTAGCCAGGGTTTCTCCCGAAACTTGAAACAGCAATCCCCCTGTTCCCACACCCCTTCAGAACTAGAGTTCCAGGACGACATAGGACGCCTGACTCACTACATGAGCTCTTGAACTCCAGTTCCTGATTGTGCAGCCAGCACTCTTAACCAGCCATGGGACAACTCTTTAAATACACTCGCCATGCTTTAGGTTTCTTCACCCCTCTAGAGTTCTCTGGACATGTAAGACACCTGGAGCAGTGGCTGCAATAGTGACCGTGTGGAGGTGGACGCTGGCTTCACCAAAGCTGAGTATGCTCTGTTATTGTACACTTGATTCACTGCTCCTCCAGCACACAGAAAAGAAAGGGAAAGCTACTGAGAGGCTTAGGCAAATATTTCAAGTGGTAAGTGTAAATAAATACAACTACAAAAAAAGTGTTTAGGGTAATGGAATCCAGTAGGACTTCCATGTATGGTGGCAATGTTTATAGTATTTAGGACAGTCACCATCAAATCAGATGAAGCTATTTAGACATTGGACTGGTGTGAATAAGGAACTGAGGTTTTTGTTTTATTTTGGTTTTGTTGTTGTTGCTGCTGTTGGCCACGGCTGCTGCTACTGGTTTGGTTTGGTTTTGGTTTTTCCGAGACAGGGTTCCTTTGTTGCTTTGGAACCTGTCCTGGAACTAGTTCTTGTAGACCAGGCTGATTTTGAATTCACAGAGACCCACCTGTCTCTACCTCCAGAGTGCTAGGATTAAAGGTATGTGCCATTACCGCCCAGCGGAACTGAGTTCTTTAATTTTATATGGTGGCTCCATGAGGCTGGTGGACGCTATATTGAACAGTACATATTTAGAAAACCAGGACACGGTAAACTAGAAGAGAGCAGGTTAGGAAAGGAAAAGTATATTGTTGCTTTATCAGCCAAACCCACTCATCTATAACATTCCATACACATACTCAATATATATTACCGTCAGGCCGTATGAGAAGACTAGGAAGGGTATGCATCAGAGCAGTGAGTACTTAAGATCTGGAGAGCAGTCACCCCCAGCCTGCAGGGAATCCGTGAGGACAGGTAATGGGACTTTCTGTGGGGAGAAAGAGAATGGTATCTGTACCGTGGAGAAGAAATTGAGAAAACTTGCGAATATAATTTCAAAAAGAGCCTCTGTCAAAAATATATAGCATTCTGAAGTTGAGTATTAAGGTATGTAAGTCTGTGTGCATATTAGGTTGAGTACAAGCTCCTGGACAAAGTCATTTTAATTAGAACTCTCCAGTACACAGGTGGCTATGCTTTGTAGCCAAAGTCCTGGTAGCTAGAGAGGAACATTACTTAGTTTTGATGTGAAAAGGCCCAGGTATGAGGTGTTGGGTTCTGAGAGACTTGTAGGGTGTCGTTTGGTCCTGTGCCTCTCGAGTGTGCCACTTAAGAGAGCGGGAACATAGTGTAGTTCAGTGACAACATCTGTGTGTGTGTCCACAGGTGGCATTCCGATGACTGTTTCACTCGGTAGTAAATGAATATGTTACGTTCTTTATCTTCTATTGTTGTTTGGTTGGTTTTGATTTTTTTTTTCTTTTTTGCGGGGTGTTTTTCAAAATGGTTTCTCTGTGTGGTCTTCTGTTCTGGAACTCACTCTGTAGGCCAGGCTGGCCTTGAACTCAGAGATCTGCCTGCCTCTGCCTCCTAAGTGCTGGGATTAAAGGCGTATGCCACCAAAGGCAATGTAATTTTTTTAACGTTTTAGTTAGTGTGGGTACACAGGATGTGCGAAAATATCAGATGAACTCAGGTCCTCAGGCAAACAACCTTTCCTCACTAAGCCATTTCCCTAACCTTTAAAATATAATTTTGTTTATTTGTTTGTTTTGGTTCAGTTTGGTTTTTCGAGACAGGGTTTCTTTGTGCAGCTTTGGAGGCTGTCCTGGAACTTGCTCTGTAGACCAGGCTGGCCATGGACTCACAGAGATCCACCTACCCTGCCTCCCAAGTGCTGGGATTAAAGGCATGCACCACCACTGCCCGCCAAATGTAATATTCTTAATTCTCCATTTTTTAAAAAAATACCAGTGCTAGCCTGTTCTGGTCTTAAACTCTTGGTTGTACCTCCTAAGTGACCATGCCCATGTTCAGATAAAACCCTAACATGTTTGTATTTCTTTGCCTTCACCCCCAAGGGGGGAAAAAGTTAGCCATTAGAACAAGCACAGTGACATAACATGCCTTCTTGGCTCAGTAGAGTCTGAGAACAGCCGGGCCTACATGAGATACATGAGATAAGTATCTTAAAAAGAAATAGTCGGGCTGGAGAGATGCTCAGAGGCTAAGGGCGCTGGTGGCTCTTCCAGAGGTCCTGAGTTCAATTCCCAGTAACCACATCATGGCTCACAACCGTCTGTAATGAGATCCGGCACCCTTTTCTGGCATGTAGGCATACATGCAGACAGAACACTGTATACATAATAAATAAATCTTTAAAAAAAGAGAGAGAGAGAGAAATAGTCATTAGCTATTAGATCTCTCATTCATGCTCCAGAAATTTCTTTGACAACATTAGCAATTAACGTGAAATGTCCATAAATTTCAAATTTTATGATTCATTTTGTATTACACAGCTTGAGACTAAATCTCGAGTAGTATGTCTAAAATTTATAAAGACATTACTATTCTCAAGAGTGGTCAGTGATTTTGACAAGTAGAATTACACTCAAACCTATTCTTTATCTATCTATCTATCCATCCATCCACCCATCTGTGTATGTTGGTTTTTCAAGACAGGGTTTCTTTGGTTAGCCCTGGCTATCCTGGAACTGGACCAGGCTGGCCTGGAATTCAGAAGAGATCGCCTGCGTCTGCTGGTTTCGTCACACCTTGCCTTCAAACTTACTTAAATGTTGCTTTTTTTATGCCTTTCTCTGAATTTGTATTATGTAGCCTTATAACTATTTTTTTCTCATTGGTTTAAGTTGCCATTGCCCCAAATGGAGCCTTACAGTTGGCCAGTCCAGGAACAGATGGAGTTCAGGGACTGCAGACATTAACTATGACAAATTCAAGCAATACTCAACAAGGCACAATCCTTCAGTATGCACAGACTTCTGATGGACAGCAAATACTCGTCCCAAGCAACCAAGTAGTTGTGCAGAGTAAGTGTGCTCCTTATCTGCAGACATGTCCAGGTCCTTTCTGAGGCCGCTGATGAGTAACTCACCTCTTTGGCCCTGCAGCTGCATCAGGAGATATGCAGACCTATCAGATCCGCACCACACCGTCTGCTACTTCCCTGCCACAGACTGTGGTGATGACTTCTCCTGTGACCCTTACATCTCAGGCAACAAAGACAGATGACCCCCAGCTGAAAAGGGAAATACGGCTGATGAAAAACAGGTGGGTAGTAATGAGTTGTGTGTATCTCATAGTCACATATTAGCTGATGAGGTAATTGAAAGGAGGTTTGGCTCAGCTTTATTTTTACCATATGCTGGATTATATCTAGTTCATTCCCAGTGATCAGTGAGCTCATTTGTAAGTCTCTGTACTAAACAGCCTATCACCCAGAGTTCAGTATTACTGTATCCTTTGAAATAGCATTGTTTAGTGACAGGACAGATGGTTCTGTGATTAAGAGCACTGGCTGCTCTTCCAGAAGACCCAGATTCAATTCCCAGCACCCACATGGTAGCTTAAAACTCCAGTCTAGGGGACCTTAAATCTGATGTAGCCTATTTGGGCACGGCACACATGTGATGTACAGACACACACACAAGCAAAGCACCGAAATACATAAAATAAGAGTAAATTATTTTACAAAAGAAGAAGCATTGCTAGGCAAAGCTTTTTGAACAGCATCTCCTGTTAGGCACACCCTAGAGGTTTGGGCACGGTCCCACAACAGTAGCACAGCAAACGCCACAGTAAGCAAGCCTTGCTGGGTATAACAGTCGTGTGTGCGCTATACTTGAGCCATCAGTTGCACTGAAAAGATAAGATATGTATTGTAATCTGCATTGGTCACATCTTGCTAAACAGTACCAGTATCATCTGAGCTTTTTTAAAAAAAAATAATAAAATATCTATTTATTTATTTAGTATGCAATATTCTGTCTGTGTGTATTCCTGCAGGGCAGAAGAGGGCACCAGACCCCATTACAGAGGGTGAGCCACCATGTTCTTGCTGGGAATTGAACTCAGGACCTTTGGAAGAGCAGGCAGTGCTCTTAACCTCTGAGCCATCTCTCCAGCCTCCTCATCTGAGCTTTTTTAAGGTGTAATGGCAGCAGCAGCAGCTCCCTCCTCCCCCATGGGTGTTAGTGGCTGCTGTTGATGGTGCTGCTTTTTGCTGAAAGCTAGTGTGGACAGCAGTGAAATTTGCCACACCGAGTGACATTTCCTTTCTCTTAATTTCTCTGAACCATGTCATGCTGATGGTAGCATTTTACCCAGAGTAGGGTATTTTCCAAAATAGAGTTGGTGACCTCAATCTCTGCCTCCACCCTACGTAAAGCTAAATCCATGTAGTATCTATCTTTATGGCTGTTTGGTCTGGTCACACCACAAAAACTTCTCTTGTTTGCAATGAGGCTGCTTCATCCTCTGGCTCCCGTACTCCCTGGAGTAATCCTTTCCATGCAGTTTGGCCGGCTGGGAGGGAGGGCTTGCTCTGGCCTGACTTAGTTTTCACCAGCCCTTCTCACTGAGCTGAATCATTCGTAGCTTTTCACTTAAACATTTGAAGGCCACTATCGGGTTATATAAGAGGATTGACTTCATGCACATCTTGAATACCAGAGAGCTTCAAGGAGAAAGCCAGAGACGAGCCATTTGAACAATCAGAACAGATACTACATTTCCCAGAACTCACCATCTTAGGTGGGCAGTTTATGACTCCCGAACACAGTTAAAATGCTAACATCAAGGGCTGGAGAGATGGCTCTGCGGATGAGAGCACTGACTGCTCTTTTAGAAAGATCCTGAGTTCAATTCCCAGCAACCACATGGTGGCTCACAACCATCCATAATGAGATCTGACATGCGACAGAACATTGTATACATAATAAATAATAATTTTTTAATGGTAACATGAGAACCACAGATGAAGATGATTTAGCAGGGACAGGTTCTAGTCTGGAAGCCTAGTGGCCGGGAGTCAATCCTTGGGACCCACATAAAGATGGAAGGAAAGAGCTAGCTCCATAGTTGTCCTTTGACGTGTATGTGTGTGTGTGCGCGCACGCACTCAGGCACTATGGCAATGTGTCTCCTTCCATACACAGTTACATTTTTTTAAAAAAGTATTTTAAGTCAACAATCACCATGAAACATTTATGTCCTTCTTAAATATATATATTTTTTCATTGCACTGGCTCATAGCCAACAATGGCTTTGATTGTGATTTTGCTCCCACTTTCTGAGTACCAGGAATATCAATCAGACTTTCCCCAAGTAGGGTCTGTGTAGTGCTGAGGCTCAAGCCCAGGGCTTCGTACATGCCAGATAATCGCTTCAATTGAGCCATACTGCCATCCTCTTAAATAGATTTTAGTCATATTACTACATTCACTTTAATATATCAGGCATGAAAACTTGCTTCTTTGAGAAAATGCATATATAGTGGTACTTTATGTACTGTGTTCAAGAGGACTAAGAAAAAGTGCCAAGAATGACAACAGAAGGTCACAGATAGAGGAGTTGAAAGATTACAGTGTGACTGGGCTTTTCAACTACACACGCAATCATGGGATAATGGTTTTTAAGCAATAAAATTAGCATAAAATAATTATGTGGGTACATACAAGTTTAATTGAAAATAAAACATCTCTATTAAAAGGTGACGACAAGGATTGCTATCCTTTACTTGTTTGTGTCTCTGTGAATGTGTTTGTTAGATAAACATGATTGTTTAGAGGGTTCAAGGGGTGACATAAGATCCATTATGTAACTAGAAGAAAACTGATAAGTCTTGTACCTGGACACCCCAGAAAGGGTCTTACAGTGTCACAAGAGTGCTCGTCCCTCATGTGCATAGCTTGGTTTGATCCGCAGTGATAAGTGATAGAAGCAGGTATGACACAGGCAGGAGGTATGTTGTGAGGGTTCAAGGGAGACTCGAACCAGCCTAGGTTACATGATGCCCTGTCTCAAAAAAAGATAGTCACAGAGGGGAGTCACTAGAATGGACACTTCTGTTCTCACAAATTGACCAGCTACATTTAAGGATTGGTGGAATATATAAGCTGCCCCTTATATATTCCTATATAATATAGGAAAGAAACTAAAGATCTGATGAGGTTAGGAATGAACGAGATCTCAGGATCATGAAGCTGTTACCTAAACATTGCTGTGTTGTGGAGATAAGTTCCTTTTTTTTTTAAGCCAGGTTTCGCTATGCAGCTGGAACTCAGTTTGTAGACCACACTGGCCTTGAACTCACAAAGATCCATTTGTTCCTCCTGATGACTAGGATTAAAGGCGCACACCACCTCGTCCAGCTGTAATGCCATACTGAAGAGACAGGGACCACAGGGACCGTACTAGGAGTTTCCTGTGCTAGGGAACCGCATGGGTTACTTTTCATGAGGTCATAGCACTCAGAGAGGAAAATGTCGCTTAAAATTAGTTTTCTTGCATAGTTCCCCAGACCACGGATGAAAAGAAGGCACTTGATACAGCTCCAACAAATCCCAAACACTGAACTCTCACAAATAGAGAGAGATGGAGGGGGACAGAGAGGAGACCAGGTTGTCCTATAAGGATATTAGTAAGCTGCCTTTTATCCAAAAGGCCAGCCCTTGGGAGTGAAAGATTAAGTCACTACTGTGAGACCAGCCTGAGCCACAGAATGAGACTAACTCATCCCACTCTGCCCAACAAGATAAAAAGAAAAGCTTTAGGCCGGTGTCCTGGCACATGTCTGTGGTCTTGGATGCCAGCTGGCGCTGATAGCTCAGCACTGACCCTCCCATATCTTTTATGTATAAAGTGAAACTTAGAACGTCAGTATAAACATACATAATTGTATAGCCTTGAGTATAGAAAAGGATTTCCAAAACAAGATAACATTTAGGGAATTTAATGTAATTGTTAGCAAATCTGACTTCATTAAAATGAAAACCTTTGAGCTGGTCATATCAGCACTTGAGAAGTGGAGACAAGATGGGAATTCAAAGTCATCCCCAGCTACATGACACTCACAAAACCAAAAAGGAAAAAAAAAAAAACTGGAAAGGTGACTCGGTGGTTTTACAGCACTGGCTGCTCTTCCAGAGGACCTGGGTTTGATTCCCAGCACCTGCATGGCAGCTCACAGCCATCTGTCAGTTTAGCCTCCGAGGGCGTTAAGCACACAGGTGCACACGCATACATGCGGGCTAGATGACTTTCCTGAGCACAAGCAAGGGCACAGGTAAGCGTCTCCAGAGCAGCTCCAGACGGTGCGAGCTAGGAAAGACAAAGGTGCATCTCATGGGCGTTCCTGAGCAGAGCTCAGAGCTGCCTTCCCTGCCAGTCCCCTCTTTAGACCCACCAGTTCTCTATGACAGTTCTTCTCACCAAGAAGGAATTCTTGCAGTTTATATAAAAAGACCTAAAGAAACACAGGTAATCCATAAACAAGAAATTGTGCCAGACTTTGTGCGTGCTTCTGGGAAGTCTGAACTGAGCATTAGCCTGAGGAGCGTTAGTGAGGCTCGGAGGATCACAGATTTGAAGCCAGTTTGGGCTACACAACAAGATTGTGTCAGGAAATAGTTTGGAAAAAATGACCGGGGAAGATTCTTTAGGTGTATTTTCCACGTGAAGGGTGTGGCATTTTCCTGATGTTTCGATGCTTGTGTTTAGGGAAGCTGCACGGGAATGCCGCAGGAAGAAGAAGGAGTACGTGAAATGCCTGGAGAACCGCGTTGCCGTTCTGGAAAACCAAAATAAAACTCTAATAGAAGAGCTGAAAACTTTGAAGGATCTTTATTCTCATAAAAGTGTTTGACTCTTTAAAGAGAAAGTATTTTTATGGACTTGCTTAAAAATTAGATTTCTTTTTAGTGGAGTTTTATAAATTCAAAGGTCAAAGAAGCTACTTTGTATTAGGTTTTTACAATGCAAAGGTAAAAAAGGGGTAAGTGGAGATGACCATAACAAAGCTGCTGGTACAACTGGAAGCTCCGAGGGAAATGTACTCAAGGAAACGGACTTTGGCAATTTAATTTTAAATAACAGTCCAACCAAAAGTGGCAGATGCATTGATAAAGCAATCAGTTCCAAGTTTGTATTTCTGTTTCCTAAGATTGCCTTTTTGTGTGTGTGAGTGTGTGATTCCTGCCAATAAATTCTAAATTACAAATGTAAAAGAAACCATAACACGTTACTAAGTATGTAAATTATGTGGTCTGATTGCTACTTGTCACAGTGTCGGGTGTGTTAAATGAGTTTTGACAGTTGGTTTTGTTGGACTTGAGGGTTTTTGAGAAGTGTTCTAACAGCGCAGGGCACACGATCTGAGTGTGGTGATTTGTAACATTTTTTATAAGAATGGAACGAGAACTGTCCTGAAGATTTGACATTTTTAAATAGCTTATTTTTGCTTCCTGAAGGTAAGGGCAATTTTTCACAAGGATATAATAATTTTTTTTGATTTTCTAATCCTGTATGCAGTTGAAGAGCATTACTCTTTGTGCTTTAACAGAATGAAGTGTTTACAGAAGCCCTTAAAATATTTTAAATAACCTAAAGATGCACGCCAAAGCTTCCCGAAGGTTTGTAATCATCTTACCGTAGGTTTGTCAGGTTCTAAAATAGTTATTGAGGCAATTCTACGTTGAGACTATTTTGTAATGTAGCCAATGGTACCTTTATAAGAGAGTGACTGCCGATATATTTTTATAGTGAATCTTTATAAATTCTAATGTTGAGTTTTTAATGATTATTTTAAATGTTTATATAGTTTTAGTAAAAAAATTTGTATCTCAAATTATCATTTTTATATTATGAGAAGAGTAAAGTTTTCAATTGGCTGATATTTGAATTGTACTTTTTCTATGAAGTTTATCTGAAGTTGAAGCTGTGGTCAGGACACCAGTGTTTAACCTCTGTATTCTAATCTGTATACACTTTGAAACTGTTGTGTGCCTGTATGGTATGTTTCATATTGTCTATGGAATTAAAAAACATTTGATAAGATTAAGTTTGCTGAATACAAAATACAGTGTTCAACATAACAAACGCCAAGCCCACTGCCAGCCACTGTGCGTGACACTTGTGAGGTAGACTTCCAGCCTCGGGTCCAGTAGCTCTGCAGGCTGGTCCAGAGGTGCTTTATATCGGGGCTCCATGGGCTTTGATTCAGTCAGAACCAGTTAGGATGAGCTCAGGAAAGCTGCCTGCAGGTACATTAATGGACAGTCACTTACCGTTGATCCTGCCAAAGAGATTGTTCCTTAGTAGAACTTGGCCACAAAGGCTATTTATTCCTTCCTTTTTTCTTTCTTTCTTCAACCTAAAGAAGATGGGGTTTGTCAGAGTGTTCTAGCAGGGAGTAATGTTTAGTTGGCAGGTTACTATCATTTCACACGTGTTGGTGGAAATGATCGCTGTCTACAGCTCCAGCTAAGACCGGTCAGATTCTTTTAGACTGTACAAGCATCTTTGTACCAATGAGGGAGCTTCCCAGCCCAGTAAGTCATTGTGTGATGACTTTAAAGCAAAGAGTGAAGACTAGGTATTCCCCAGTTCGTTGGAGTGATAGAGGTGCAGCATGACTTAGTAGCCATCAGTAGTGATGACGGCAGTACCTATTCCCAGGAAAAGATGTGCCTCAGCTCTGTCTGAAAAAGGCTTGATGGATAAAGAATGCCTTGAGTTAGTCAAGAGGGTATATTCTTCAAAAGCATAGCCAATCTAATCAGTAATGTTGGTTTTGTTTTCTCAAGACAGGGTTTCTCTGTGTAGATCAGACTGGCTTTGAACTCACAGAGGTCCCCTGCCTCTACCTCCCAAGTGCTGGGATTAAAGGTGTGCATCATCACATCAAATCAGTAATACTGTCACAAGATTTCTTGTCCTTTTCACTATAAATCACAGGGAAAGGCCATTCTAGATTGCCCCTCCCCCAGATCTTAGGGACTGGTACAGGAGAGGTTTAGGGCACATTATCCACTGTTCCTTTTCTCATTCTTAGAGGGAGATTGTATAACTGCCCTTTGACTAGTATAATTTGTTGCAGTCATAATTATTAGAAATTAAATCTTTCCTGCCATTTCATGATTGAGGTTTTTTTCTCCAAGTTGTTGGCATTTTATATAATCATTTGCTGTCTTCAACTTAGCTTGTGCCATATATAACATACACTATATATAACATGTCATATATAACATGTAGCAACCTACTCAGCATACATGTGTTCTCAAGAGTAGTCCGTGTAGATGTATAGCACTCGACTAGTGAGGTCATGGTATGCCTTTTATATCCAGTGGGCAGAAGAGACCAGGAAAGTCCCTTTTCCACCCCTGTGGAGCTCATGCCCTTGAGGTTCTTGTTTGCTCAGTCACATCAGTGTAAATGGCTGGGATTCAGACTTCTAGACCCAGTGTAGTGCCAGATGTGGTGCACACCTGTAATCTCAGCAGAAACCCAGGGGCTGGAGCAGGAGATCAAGAACACCTTTAACCCCAGTACGGGGGACTGGGGGAAGGCAGAGGCAGGGTGATATCTGGGAGTTTAAGGCCACCTCAGTCTTCAGAATGAATTCTAGGGCAGAGAAACCCTGCCTTTGGAGGGAGGGAGTCTGAGGCCAGCCTATTGCTTGAGGCAATGTCTCAAACAAATCGGTTGGACTTCTCAGTAAACCCATGAACTCCATCAATGTCAAAGGAGAAAACTAACGCCAAAAGTTGTCCAGTGACCGCCTGGGCGATGTGGCATTCACCTGTATCCACACATCTTATACACACGTACAATAATACATTTTTTTTAAAAAAAAAATAGCAATCTCGGAACACTGTCTTGTAGCTCCATCATGAGGGTGCCTCATAATATTTGATGATCTGAGTTCAAGCTCAAGTAGGCACAGAAAAATTAGATATTCTGCCCAGAATCACACAGTAAATAACAAAATTAATGTTAAATTTTAGGTCTATCAACACTAAAATGTATGGTTTTGGTCATGAGAATGTGGCCCTTATTAATGGTTTTGAGGCAAAGTCGTCCCCGTCCCCCCTCCCCCCCTTTGGCTTAAAAATAGTTTAAAGCCCTGTTTAAATTGTCCACTAGAGGGCGACCTCCTTTAAACTTGGTTCTGCAAACACAAGTTTGTAGAAAAGTCTGGCAAGGGCCAGCAGATAACTCAGCTGGTGAAGGCACTTGCTGCCAGGCCTGATGCTTAGTCCCCGTGTAGTGAAAGAAGAAAATAACTTCACACATGCACTGTGGCATGCATGTCCACACAGGAACACATATGGGAGTGTTATAAAACAACTTTGTACAACATCCAGGACGAATAACTTGGTTGTCTTGAGATCTGAAGGGAGAATGTACACGGGGACCTCCTACAATTCCTGTCCATTCCTGATTTCCCTGCAGGGAGGCAGCTGCTTGAGTTCAGTGTACAGTCACTACATGTGTTCCTAGACAGGCAGTAACCCCAGTATTCAGGCTGAGTCGTGAGCTCTGTGGGTTCGATAATAACAGGGTCCTGTCTGAAAAACGTACAAGAGGTTGAATGAAGCCAGGTGGTGGTTACTCATGCCTTTAATCCCAACCTGGTCTACAAAGTGAGTTCCAGGACAGCCAGGGCTGTTAGAAAATCCAGTTTGGGGGAGCGGGGAGGCTGAAAATGAAGCTCAGCTATGCTTGCCTAGTAGGTACAGTGCTGAAGGTTCAATTGCCAGCACCAAATGAGCCAAGATGATGGCTTCAGTCTATAAGCCCAGCACTGTCAAGGCAGGAGATTGAGAATTTGAGGCCAGCCTGGACTACATGAAACCTTTTGCTGAAAAATAAAACTTGGGGTGAGATGGCTTAGCAGTTAAGAGCGTGTACAAGTTTGATACCCACATTCAGCTCACAACTGCTCATAATTCCAGGAGATCCCACACTTCTGGCCTTCTGAAGGCACCTATACTCAAGTGTACACACACACATATATATAACTAAAAATCTTTAAAAGTAAAGATTAAAAAACAAAAAGCACGATTTAGTGGATTTTTTAGTTCATAAATGTTTTTCAACATTCTACCAGTCTAAAAAATAAAAAGTCAAATATGACAAAGTGCAATGGAAGCCAGGAGCCGAGCCCCAGGTATAGCACTTGCCCAGCATGCACAAGGCCTAGGGAATTAAAATCAGGCTGGAGAGCAGGCTCAGTAGATGACAACATTTGCACTTGCAAAGGACCCATCTTCCGTTCTGGGCACCCACGTGGCAGTTCATAACCATCCCCAGAACTCTAAACTCCATGAACAGGCCTAGGTGTGCTGCACAGACATAAACAGGAGGAAGGTGGAGCAGCGCACACCTTTAATCCCAGCGCTTGGGAGGCAGAGACAGACAGACCGACCTCTGTGACTTTGAAGCTAGCCTGGCCTATAGTGAGTGGCATTTCATTTGTATTTTAATAAATAAAGCTTGCCTGAAGTTCAGAGAGTAAAGGAGCCTCATCCACTGGTCAGCCTTACAGACCAGGCAGTGGTAACACACACCTTTAATTCCAGTGGTGCATGCCTTTAATTCCAGCTTTAGGATTATAAAACAGGAGACAGCTCTCAGACAGTCTCAGTCTGAGATTCCCAGAGGCAGGATCGTCATTTCAGACTGAGGTAGACGTAAGAGCCAGTGGCTGTCTGTCTTGCTTTTCTGACCTTCAGGTTGAACTCTAATTTCTCTCTCTGAGTTTTATTAATCACACATCACTGGTCTACATAGCAAGTTCCAGGACAATCAGGGCAACCTTGAAAAAAAATTAAAAACAGACCGGACCAAATAATAAAGACTATCAGGTTGAAGTGGGAAGCAAAATTCTACTACATGTTTATAAATGCTAAATTAAAAATGTAAGGAAACAGCATGACTGAGATGGAGCGTTACAAAAGCCAGTCAAATTCTAGCCAGAACGCTGGAATGGCTGTATGTATGTTGAAGAAAATAGACTAGACATCATTTGGGGTTCCTAACTGCACTTTTGCTGCCGTGGTGAACCATAATGTAGACATCTGTGTTTTCTGATGCTCTCAGCCGACTCCTGTGAAAGGGTCATTTGCCTCCCAAAGGGGTCGCGACCCACAGCATGAGAACTGCAAATCTAGAAGATCAAATACAGTTAATGCTTTTTTCTGACCTTCCTGCCTTCTTGAGGACTGGGGTAGCTCGTGCTACCACGCTTGGCCCACCTCTGACCTTGAGTTCACTAGAACAGGGCGAAGACACTAAAACGAAGAAATATGATAAGAAAAAAGGAAAAATTCTAGTGACAAAAGCAGGAAACTAGTAAAACAGATTTGAAGAATTAACAATCTCAGTTGATACAGAAGAACACAGCCCATTGTGGGCAACACCATTTCCTGGGCAGGTAGGCATAGTCTAATAAGAAAGCTAGCAAGGCCTAGGTCTGCAAGTGAGCCAGCAGCACGCAGCATTCTTGCACGGTTTCTGCTGCCCTCTGTGCTGAGAGGTAACGTCACATAGACCAGCAGGCCAGCTTTTGACTTCCTGCCCTGATGCCTCAGTGATGGACTGTAAACTAATGAGATGAAATAAGCCTTTTCCTTTAGATTGGTTTTGGTTGTGGTATTTGTACAGCAGCAGAATGAAACTAGAGTGAGCGAACTTATCTTACATCTGAGAAAGAAAAGCCAGTGTGAAGTTAACATGCCAGGCAAACAGGATGCCAGCCTCAGACACCAACTGCACAGGCATCTCTTACACAACAGACAGCTCCTGCGAGTATGAAGTAGACCACGCATGGGGTAATGAAGTCAAGCTCAACCCATTTTGAAGAAGGACTGTTTCTTTGCCTGTGTGCACTACCCTTTCATCAGAACTCTAGCGCAGGCTGGCCACTGCTGGAGAAGTGAACAGCACACTATTACAGGAGTTTAGAAACTGCTTTCTGATAAGCAGCACAGACTGATGGAAGCCTGGACTGCACCCCCCATTGCTTTGGATCAGCTCTCTGCTTTGCTCCGCCCAGAA